CGTTGACTCTGTGGGGTTGGATGAATACACCACAGAGCTGGGAGGGATGGACGGAGATCTGTGAGGTGGGTGTGTCAGGCCCGCCCAGGAGCGGGTCCTACCAGCACAGCTCAGCCCAGCCCGGGTGCCAGCCAGTGCCAGTGGAAGCAGTCTTGGGGCAGCGGCAGAGGAAGAGCAGCAGAGCACAGGTATGGGGGTGTGACAGGTGGGGCTGTACCACCAGAAGCGGGGGACGTTGTGAGGATGGAGACCTTGGATAGGCCACAGGCTGTCTGGATACAATGAAAGGACAAATGGAGAGGTCTTCCCAAGGGAGCCTGACACAGGAGAGTGCCTGAAGCCCCGCTGTGGCCACCCTAGGGTCTTCCCCTAAACCTCTAGGCTCCTGCTTTCATGCTGACCCTGTGCTCCCTGTGGAGAGCTCAGCTCTGCTCCCCTCACATCCATTCATCCTACAGGGCCTAACCTGGGAAACACTGAGCTGAACCGGTCCAAGTTGGTTAGTGAGTTGGCTGGGAAAAATAGCTTTCCCAGGTCACCAAGGTATGTTTTATTTGGTTACTTGGTGCTGAGGGTGGAATGAGTGTAAACTAAGCACCTGTCCTACCACTGAGTGCCACCCCCCCAGATGTAACCCAGGCTGGCCTCAAAATCTGTATGTAGCCAAGGAGGACCTTGAACCCGTGATCCCTTCCCTCTCTCCCTCTAGAGTCATAGGATTCTAGGCATGGACCACCACACCAGTTTTCTGCAAGTGCTGGGGGTTGAACCCAGAGCATGCTAGGCAACCAACTTGAGTTACATCCCCAGTCTCCTGACCTTTGGGGGGAATGTAATCATTATGCTTTCTAGAATGATCTTCAACTCCTAGCCACAAATGATCCCCCATCCCATCAGCTCTCCTGATAGTTGACACTACCCAGGTGTGCCAGAATGCTCAGTCTCCAAAGTCTAGCTTTTGCTATGCCAGAGATTAAGTCCAGGGCCTTGTGAATGCTGGTGATCTTTCTACTATGGAGCTGCCCCCAGCCCTTCCAGATATATGCTAATGGGTCTTGAGGAAGTGCTGCCCCACCGTGAAATGCTGTAATAGAGGTGTTGGGCTGTATGGGCTCTGTCCCCATGGTTCTGACAGAATATGGCTGCTGCGTGGCATAAAGGGGAGTAAATGAGCCTTTGTGCATCTGTGGGACTGCGGAAGGCTGTCTGGGATCTTTGCCATACTTGTGCAGGCCACTGCCTGCCTGCTGCCTATGGTTTTAGGGGCTCAGTGACAAGAAAGGGACTCACAGACTTGTCCTTCCAGAGCTCTTCACTTATGATGAGCTGAAGTCATAGCCCTGGGGGAAACAGAATGCAAGTAATGCGACATTGAACCTCACCCCCCAAACACCCAGACACACGAGAGGCCGGCTCAGTCTGTGCTGTCCGATGCCATTAGCTCTCCCTGCCCCATTCCTCCCAGTATGTACCCCACTGACACAGAGACCTCTTATGACCATGGGCATAATAACAACAACAACAACAACAATAGTAATATGCCCAGGAGGAGGCAGCGGAAGGGGGAGAACTGGTGGGAATATCAGCGCATCTGGGAGGCAAAGCGCTTGCCTAGTGTGCACGCCGCCCTGGGTTCATCCGAAGCATCGAAGGGTGTGGACCTCCGAGACCAGTGGCATGATGGAAGTTCAGAGTGAGGTCACCCAGCCTAAAAGGCTCCAGGAGGTTATTCAAAAGAGGCAGGACCTGTCAGGCCTGAAGCAAAGGGTAAGATGCACACAGGGCACAGATCAGCACCGGGCTGAGCCTACAGCAGAGACTTTGGGAAGAGGGGGGTTGGAACTTTCTTTCCTGTTTTTCCAGCTTTGGAGGGAGAGGTGGGTAAGCTGTCATCTACACATCAGGGAAGCTAATTACTGAGCTCTGGGATACCCTTGATTTCTGTCTTTCCCAGCAAAAAAACATTGTGAAGGGTGATTATATTCCCAGCACTCTGGAGCCTGAGGCAGGAGAATTGTCATGAATTCCAAGTCAGCCAGAGATACATTGTGAAACCCTACCTCAAGGAAAAGGAGGAAGTGTGAGGGGGGGAACCCACCGGAGAGGGCTGGATGGGTATAGGGAGGGAGATGGCTGTGCCCAAGAGGGGTACTGGGGCGGAAATGATGCTGGAAGGACAGGGAGAGGAAGGCTCTGGTGGAGACAGGATAAGCAGGGCAGCCTTGAGAACACAGGACCCCAGTGACCAGGCAAGGGTAGCTATCTCTGACCTGGGCCATAGGAAGCTTCTTCTCTCTGGTGACCCCAGACTCTATCTCCTTCTAGGCTGGATGACCTCGCTCTGAACTCCCCAAACCACAGCCCCTCCCATCTTTTCCCTGGCCCTCAGTCCCAGGAGAAGCTGACTGGCAGGAAGGATCGGAACACACCTTTTACTTTAATTTTGTTGTGGGAAAAAGTCTTACCGTGTAATTCTGCTGCCCTGAACTCACTGTGTAGAAAAGTGTGCACACCCTGGCGGACAGGGTTTCCTTGCCTGGTCTGAACCTGGCCATGTGGACCCGGCCTGGGGCTTGTGGTCCTTCCCGCTTTCTGCCTCCCAAGTGCTCCCATTACCAGCACACCTGAGGCTGGGGCAGAACTAACAAGTCTAAGACAGGATTCTCAGCAAACCCAGGGGTCTGTGGGGAGTTTAGCGAATAGATAGATGACGTCACCCACGCACCCAAGCCCGGGAGGGGAGAGGTGCACCACCCAGTGTTGTTCGAACAGCAGAGGAAGTGTCTAACTAGCAACTTAGACACTTAGAAAGAGGCGTGCTGTGGCTGGGTGGTGGTGGCACACGCCTCTAGTCCCAGCACTCCGGAGGCAGAGGCAGGTGGATCTCTGTGAGTCTGAGGCCAGCCTGGTCTACAGAGTGAGTTCCAGGACAGCCAGGACTGACTGTTTCACAGAGAAACACTGTCTCAAAAACAAAACAAAAAACCAAGAAAAAGAAAGGAAGAAAGATGAGTGCTATTTCCTGTGTTCCCACTGAGAAATGAACTGAGGCCATCCCAGAGACAACTGTGGGCACAAAGGCCTGAGTTTTGGCCCTGTGGAGAAGGCAGAAAGATGTAAATTGGTAACGGGAGTCAGCGAGCGAGGGATCTGTCGCACGTGTGAGAGACACACGGTGTGGGAACGCAGTGACAGTGGTGGGCAGACTCTTCCTGTCTTCATCGCTGCTGAGGCTGTGGCCTGCAGCTGTCTTCCGCATTGTTGGTTACGTGCTGGGGAGGATGGCCCCCTCAGACAGAGCTTTCGGAGCAGCTGGGAGGATTGATCATGAGCTAGCCTCTTGCCCACTTTACTCTTGGTTCTTACTTCCTGCCTGTGGCAGAAAATAGCCCTGCCCCTCTCCCTTATCTCAGCTAAGAGCAGCACCCAGCCCAGCTCAGAGGGCATTGGAACAGGTTCCAGAGGTCCTGAGGAGGTAAGGAGCCCTGGATGTGCACACGGGATCCGAAAGACAGAGATACCTGGAGCAATCGGCCTGCTGTGATTTGAATAGTGTGACTGCGGAGAACATTGGGCCTCTGGTTCCTCTATGTTGATTGTGGTTTCTTTGGCTCTCCATGCCTGTGGCCTGAGGTATTTTTGCATACATCTGTATGAGCATGAGCTTTTGAAGGAACGCGGCTCTCTGTGCATCTGTTTAAGATTCTCCCTGAGGCAGGGGACGGAGCTTCTCTTTCTTGTCTGGCCCATGTGGCCCTGCAAGTGTAACAGATGTTCACAGACACTGATTTGTATGCTAATGTATGCATGCCTCCGAGTGTCTATGTATGAAAATGTGTGTCATGTGTGCTTATGTGACATCAGCGAGTGTCCATGTTACCAAGCTGTGTAGGCCTCCATGGCCCTCCCCCTAGCTGGTGAAATGAAACTCCACTGTTCCTTCTTTTGGGAGGTAGCTGCTACTTAGATATTTTTTCCCCATCTCCCTCGAGCCTGGCCTCTTCTTCAAGGCAGAATTGGGGACAGGGTCTGTGCTACCTCTCCCCCACCCCGACACCCCTCTTCCCATTTCCTGTTTGCCTCCTCTTTGGCAGTTTTTCCCATCTTTGCCATCTGGCCTGGCACTGAGCCCATATAGCTCCTGAGCCAGGAGCTTGGCCAGGGCTCAGGGAAGGAGGGGAATGGGGTAAGGATCCAGGCAGGGACCTTAGCAGCTTGGCCTTTCTGTGGGAAGAGGTAGATTTTTCACAGTCTCCACTGTAAAGAAACCCAAGAACCTCTCTTTGGAATAGGGTAATGAGACCGTCACCATTTCTTCCTTTAAGTAGCAGTTCAAAGAATATTTGGCATTTTGATCTGCTCAAACTTAGTAACTTGCTTTAACAGAGAGACTCGAAATTATTGGAAAAGAATGCATTCCTGCACTCAGTATCTAGAATGTGATTAGTATCTTCCTAATGTCAGGAGTTAATTGATTTTACAGGTAAAATGGTAAAATGGTAAGCTTATGGTTAAAATGATAGTTCTTGCTGTTTTGCTTATAAACTGTTACTGAATTCTTGTTTTGTTTTGTTTGTTTTTTGTTTTCCAAGACAGGGTTTCTCTGTATTGTTTTGGAGGCTGTCCTGGAACTCGCTCTGTAGACCAAGCTGGCCTCGAACTGTTAGTGAATTTTTGAAATTTTTTATTTTCATAAATTTTGTAATTATGCATTTATTTTTATTTTGTGTGCATTGGTGTTTTGCCCGCATGTATATATGTCTGTGTAAGGCTGTCAGGATCCCTGGAACTGGAGTTATAGACAATTTTAGCTGCCATGTAGGTGATAGGAATTGAACCCTAATCCCCTGGAAAAGCAGCCAGAACTCTTAACCACTGAGCCATCTCTCCAGGCCCCATTAATTTTTTAAATAATGTATATACATGTGGTGGGTATATGCAGGTGCCTGAGGGAACCGGAGGTGTTGGAGTCCCTGGAGCTGGAGTTCCGGGTTGTGGGTCACCTGACATTCGTGCTGAGAAGTGAACCCTGGTCCCCTGCGAGAGCAACACAGGGCTCACCTCCCATTTACAGACCCCCTGCTGAAGTGTTTCCCTACGGCCAGTGCAGAGACTTGGTGCCCTGTGAGTCAGTAAAGAGCAGAGGCAGAAGTGAGGCGAGTGGTTAGGTGGGTGCAGTAACGCTGAGAATATGCTAATTGTTGGATGGAAACCATTTTCCTTCCAAGCGGCCAAAGAGACTCACTCAGGGGACCTAGTGCAGGGCTAAAGTGTGTGTCTGAGAACGAGATCCTCACCCTGGGGCTTTACCATCTAGTTGGGTGAAAGGATAAGTACATAAAACAGTGGGTGGATTCAAGCACTTAAAAGTAACAAGCTAAATAAATGGCTTTTTTTTTCCTTTTTGAGACCAGATGTTCCTTTTGGCTCAGGCTGGCCCTCACTCCTGGGCTCCTCCTGTCTCAGCCTCCTGAGTAGCTGGGACCTCAGGAATGTAGCACTTTTCCTTGCCCAGCACTTAAGCACTTCGGGGAAAATCGTGAAGAGGCGTATCTCAGTGTGTGTGTGTGAGAGAGAGAGAGAGAGAGAGAGAGACGGCGTATGCTACCAGTGTGCGGAGAGGATGAGAAAGGAAGTGGGTTAGTGAAATGAATGTCAATTGGACAAAAGAGGAAATGAAATGCCACCCATGGCATAGGTTTCATATGGGCAATTATAAAAGGCCAGGTACTCTGTGCAGCACCCACCACAAACCCTCCTATTCACCCTCGCTGGGAGCCGCAAGGTACAGCTTGGACTTTGAGCTGGGCGGCCCAAGATTTGGGTCCTGCCTTTGTTCCTCAGAGACCAGCTCTTGTGCTTTTGCTGTTTCCTCTAACAATTAAGGCAAACACCTGCCTCAAAGAACTGTAGGGAGGATTAGCGACCACAGGCATAGCCTGGCTGGGATAGGGTCACCCCATGAGGCTCCTCCTTCTCAGAGCTAAGGAGAGGAGCTAAGAGAGCTAAGAGCTAGCTGTTGCCATATATATAGGATCAACTGAGGTGTCTGTGTACCTCAGACCCTGGCTAGTACAAAGGAAAGGGCTAGACCACAGCTGCCCTGTTGAGGAGGACAGAGCCAGGAAGGGGTGGCAGGGCCTCATGTAAAACCACTGGGTTTGTCACGTCGAGAGTGGGAGGAAGGACACTCCAGGTTGGAGAAGCACCAGCTGCCACGGCAGAGGCCTGATAGCACATGGTGCGTGCAGGATTCACTGGCTTGCTGTAAGTGGGGCAGAGGGACATGGGGAGGGGTTGCTGTAAGTGGGGCAGAGGGTCGTGGGGGAGGGGGTCCTTTCCTTTTCAGGGTGTTCACATCTCATTCCGTACTAGTATAAGTATCTGTGGGATACTAATATCTCACACCCCTTTACGTGCCAACAGTTTTGGAGGCATAAATCCTACACATATTGTCACTATATCTTAAAGCATCTTTCTGTCTGTGAGCCCGGGCCTTGGGAGATGGAAGCTGGAGGAACAGGAGTTCAAGGCCACCCTCAGCTACTTAGTTTTAGAGCAGTCTAGGACACCTGAGACCCTGTGTTCTCCCCTTCCCCGAAACCGGCGATTTCTATTTTTATTCCTTTTTCTCTTTCTGTGTGTGCACAGGCACGCACATGCCAGCTCATACTGAGCCCCTTGCCCTGTTTGTGTTTTGGAAAAGGGAAGGGTTTCCCTATATAAGGCTATATCTTATATAAACCAATTGTATTACCCTATATAAGTCCAGTCTATTGTACTGCCTCAGCCTCTGGAATTACAGGTCTTTGCCCTACAGTCTACTTTTTAGAAAAAAATATTTTTTAAAATTTATTTTTGTGTTATGTGTATGGATGTTTTGCCTGCATGTAAGTCTGTGTAACACATTTGTGCAGTGCCCATGGAAGCCAGAGAGGGCATTGGATTCCCTGTAACTGGAGTTGCAGACAGTTGTGAGCTGCATGTGAGTGCTGGGAATTGAATCCAGGTTCTCTTGGAGGGCAGCAAATACTTTTTTTAAAATGGTTTTTGTTTGTTACTTGTTGTTTTGTTTTAAACAGAATCTCTATGTAACTCTGGCTATCTTGAAACTTGCTGTGTAGACCAAGAGATCCTTGAACTCATTGCTATAGAGTCTTTCTCTGTAGCCTAGGGTGGCCTTGAACTTGGGATCTTCTGCCTCAGCTTCCTGAGATCTGTGATAACCACCATGCCAGACTTTGTAAATACTTCCATACTGTACTTTTTGAGGGAATAATGACAAGGGTAAAGTCTGTGTATGTGTGTGTGTGTACTCAAGACAGGCTCGTGTTGTTTGTTTTGCTTCTGAGACAGACCCTGATGTGTTTCAACAGTTGTTTTTAACCTCCTGTGTTCAAATGATAATCGTGCCTCAGCATCCCAAGCAGCCAGATGTAATCTGTTTGGCTGGTTTTGTTTTAGAGACAAAGTCTCACTTGGTAACCTAGGCTGAACTCTTGGCAATCTTCCTAAATGCTGGGATTACAAGTGTGAGGTAGCACACCTGGCCTTTTATTGAGACAGGATCTCATGTAACCCAGGTTGGCCTCTGCCCCTCAAGTCTGTTTCCAGGCAGGATTACCAAGCCTGGCTTAGATGCGACATTCTCTCTCCCTCTCTCTCTCTCCAGAGCCTCACACACTATAGCCCAAGCTGGCCTCAAATTCCTTCTACTCCAGTCTTTAAAAACACGTTTAGATGCATTCATTCTATTTCATGTGTGAGTGTTTTGCTTGCATATGTATATGTGTACCATTTGTGTGCTTGGTATCCACGGATCTCAGAAGAGGGCATTGGATCCCCTGAAACGAGTTGTAATCCCATCAGGTAGGTGCTGGCAACCCACATCCTCTGTAAGAACAGCAAGTGCTCTTCACCACTGAACCATTTCTCCAGCCCCTGCTTTAGCCTGTTAAGTGATGGGACTACAGACTAAGCCCAACTACTACTAAGCCCGACTTTAGGTCCATTAAAAAAACCTAACTGTATAGCTTTAGCTGGTCTAGAACTTGCTATGTAGACGAGGTTGGCCTCGAACTCACAGAGATCCTGCATGTGTCTACCACATGTGCCACCATGCCTGACTAGATGCATATTTTTAAAAAATACTTGTTTTCTTTGAGATTGGATGAACATATGTTGCATACATGGAACCTACACATGGAGGGCTGATGGTATTTTCATTATTGAAATTGGTATTTTATGGAGGAAATAATGTATTCCCTTTTAACTGTTTTATTATGCTTCCTACAAATCTTGAGATGCTGGTCGCTGGAGTGAGAACAAAAAAAGCCCCCATAAATTTGATATAGTCAGGCTTACAACTTAGTACCATAAGTTAATTTATTTATTGAAATGATGGAGATCAAACCCAGGGCCTTGAATTTATAAGCAAGTAGTTTATCACCGAGCCAGAGCCACAATCCTAATACAATTATTTCAATAGTGCCTTTAATATATAACATTTATTTCACATATGTGTATACAGGCATGCATGTGTCACTGGCACTTACAGAGGTCAGAGGATAGCTCTCAAGAGTTAGTTCTCTCCTGCCACTATATGGAACTCTGGAATCCAACTCAGGTGGTCAGGCCTGGGCACGGGGGCTTCTACACACTGAGCCAACTCACCAGCCTTTTTGATAAGAATTAGTTTGGGGTGCCGGAGAGAAATGGCTCAGTGGTAAGAGCAGTGACTGCTCTTTCAGAAGACCCCAGTTCAATTCCCAGCACCCACATGGCAGCTAACAACTGTCTGTAACATACATGTAGACAAAACACCAATGTATATAAAAATAAGAATAAATTATTTTTTTAAAAAAAGAATTAGTTTAGTATTTGGTTTACACGTATGGGTGTTTTGTCTGCATGTATACCTTCACACCAGAAGAGGACATAGGATCCCATGAGATTACAGTTATAGATGGTTGTAAACTGCCATGTGGGTCCTGGGAATGGAATTCAGGACCTCTGGAAGAACAGTTAGTGCTCTTAACTGCTGAGCCATCTCTCTACCCCAATTTAGTATTTTGGAGATAATACTCAGAATCTAAGACAAACCCTTTCCCTGAGATATTATCTAGACACCTATGTTCAACAGCAACATTATTCAGTAGTCAAACATAGAACTCACAGATGAGTGATAAGCAAAATGTGGTGTACACATTCTGTTGAACAGGCTGGGTTTGTAGCCAGTGGATGAGTGCAAGCTTAGTGTTAGTTTGTTTGAGACAGGGTCTCATGCAGTTCAGGCTGGCCTCCATCTTCTTTTTTGGGGGGGGTGCAGTTTCAAGACAGGGTTTCTCTGTGTAGCTTCAGAGCCTGTCCTAGAACTCGCTGTGTAGACCAGGTTGGCCTCGAACTCACTGAGATCCACCAGCCTCTGCCTCCCAAGTGCTGGGATTAAAGGCGTGCGCCGCCGCCACCACCACCACCTGGCCCTTGAATTTCTATGTAGCTGAAGATGTTCCGCCACCCACACGGCTGCTCACACCTCTGCTCCTGAGGAGCCTCATGCCTTCTGTTAGTCTCCAAAGGCATCAGGCTCACACATGATGCAAGTCTATACATTCAAGCGAAATGCTCATAAACATAGAATGAAAAAATAAATATTTAAAATAAAGTATCTTTTAAGATGAAATAAATAAAACGGTGTTAGAGACGGGTGCAGTGGGAGACACCTACAGCCCCAGCTGAGACCGAGATCACTTCAGCCCTGGAATTCAGGCCAGTCAGCCTGGGCAGCACAGTCAGACTGCGTCTCTAGGGAGAAAAGTAAAATAAAATTTAAAAAGTAAAAATGGAGCTAAGGATGGTGCACACACCTGTAATCCCAGCACTTGGGAGGTTAGGGCAAGAGGCTAAGGAGTTCAAGGCCAGTCTCAGCTACACAGCAAGTTTAATGCCAGCTTAGGTTACATGAGACCCTGTCTCAAAAAAAAAAGTCAAGGATTAAGTTATGTTTATTCTGATACGCCCGTACGCATTTGTGCACGCATGCACACACACACACACACACGCACATTCTCACACACGCACGAACTGTGTATGAGGCAGGGATGGAAAGGTGTCACCTGTGCTTCTCGCACACGAGGAGGTGGGATCCTAAGACCCCACCTTGTCCATTATCTACTTGGCTGTCCTTGAACTAGTTGGTTCCCTTGTAGGGAATGTACTGTGGTTTAGCAGGGAGGGGTCACACAGGAAACACCTGGGGAAGCTCAGCCCCGGTGGGTTGTGACCTCTTTGGAGTAGCATATCACATCCTGCATACCAGATATTTACATTATGATTCATAACACTAGCAAATTGTTTTTCGTTATGAAGTAGCAACGAAATAATTTTATGGCTGGGGGTGGGGGTCAGCACAACATGAGGAACTGTATAAAAGGGTCACAGCATTAGGAAGATTGAGAACCGCTGCCTCAGGGCTTTCCCCCACCTTCCTAACGGGAAGGCTAAAATACTCTGACAGCAACTGCCTTGCGGTACACCAGTACATTCTTATACCCATTTTATAGATGAAGGAGTGGAGGGTTAGGTCATCCAAGCTGAGGCCAGCAGGTCTCTCTGAACAAACCCAGCCCACAAGGGAAACAGTGACTATGATGAACAGGACCGGGATTTTGTACTGGACTTGAGAGTCTGAACTTCATTTCTCAGATAACAGGGCACCAACCCAGCCCCTGGTCCAGAGAAAGGGCCCATAGCCCTTCTGCCTGTCTGTCACACCTATTTGTGTGGTTTTCTGTTTGTCTTCCTCTAATGGAATGTGAAGTAGGTGGGGGGACCAAGCCTTTGTTTTTGTCCATTGCTGGAACAGGCTGGAACCTTCCAAGGATCCAGTAAGCATTAAGGGGAAGGCGGCTCCTAAGAACAGCAATCGAAGCATTTTAATCTCACTTAAGGTCCAAACAGCATCTTGAAGTAGAGGACATTCAGACTCCTTCACATGCACCCAGATGAGGAAAATGATTTCTCTGAGGTCACCAAGTGAGGCAAGTGCCAATGCCAGCACTCATGCATAGCCTGTCTGGAATCCATGACTGCAGGACCCTGGCGTGACCCCGGATGACAGAGCCCAGCTGTAAAACACCGTTCTGGCAGAAAGATGGGGAAAGACGGAGTGAAGAGCCTTGAGGCTGGGAATGGACTGGGGCCAGTCAGGTTAGCTAAGCATTTAGACTATGGTTCTGTTCTAGTAACTCTACTTCTGGCTTGCCTTCTGATTCCAGGTCTGCGCTGCTGAAGCTGTGCCACCAAAGGCTTCCAGCCTTGACCAGTCATCTGCCCCTGAGGTCATAGACCACACTCCCATGTCTCGCCTCTGCTTGCTTTGGGACAGACTCTGTATAGACACCAGGCTACCACCCTGGAGGTGAAAGCCATGCTCGGACCTTAGTATTCCCCCATAATGCCTCAGCCTAGTTTCTCTTCCCACTTGGACATGATGTTTGCCAATTCTTCAGCCAACGCCTCTTCCACCAACAGCTCTGTGCCCCAGTGCCGTGACTACCAGGGTACACATCGTCTGCATATGGTGGTCTACAGCCTGGTGTTGGCGACTGGTCTCCCCCTCAACGCTCTGGCCCTCTGGGTCTTCCTGCGTGTGCTGCGCATAAACTCGGTAGTGAGCGTGTACATGTGCAACCTGGCAGCCAGCGACCTGCTCTTCACCCTGTCACTGCCCCTGCGCCTCTCCTACTACGCCCGGCACCACTGGCCCTTCTCGGGCTTCCTGTGCCAGACGTCGGGCGCCATCTTCCAGATGAACATGTACGGCAGCTGCATCTTTCTGATGCTCATCAACGTGGACCGCTACGCGGCCATCGTGCACCCGCTGCGGCTGCGCCACCTGCGGCGGCCCCTCGTGGCGCGGCGGCTCTGCCTGGGCGTGTGGGCGCTCATCCTGCTGTTCGCCGTGCCCGCCGCCCACGTGCACAGCCCGTCCACCTGCAGGTACAAGAACATCACGGTGAGCCTGTGCTTCGAGAGCTTCAGCGATGAGCTGTGGCAGGGCGGGCTGCTGCCGCTCCTGCTGCTGGCCGAGACGCTGGGCTTTCTGCTGCCCTTGGCGGCTGTCCTCTATTCGTCCGGCCGGGTCTTCTGGACGCTGGCGAGGCCGGACGCCACTCAGAGCCAGCGGCGACAGAAGACCGTACGCCTGCTGCTGATCAACCTCATCATCTTCCTGCTGTGCTTCGTGCCCTACAACGCCACGCTGGCAGTGTACGGGTTGCTGCGAGCCAACTTGGTGAAATCCAGCCTTCAGGCCCGCGATCAGGTGCGCGGTGTGCTGATGGTAATGGTGCTGCTGGCCGGCGCCAACTGCGTGCTGGATCCGCTGGTGTACTACTTCAGCGCCGAGGGTTTCCGAAACACACTTCGCAACCTGGGCACCTCGCTCCAAACCAGGCCTTTGGCTACCAATGGGACTAGAGGGGTGCTCACCGAACCACCCTCAGAAGCCACCCAAAACACCGGGCAAGATGCCACCAGTCAGGGGCTACTCCAGCCCGCCAATCTGGAAACACCGGCTACCCAGTGCCCCCAGGATTCGGCTCTCTGAAAGGACCAAGTGTCACACTGCAGGCTTGGGCCTCTCTCAAAGGCTTAGGGTGTACATTTGAGGGAGGCGGGCTGGGAACTTGGACGGTGAAGCAACTCCAGTCCTAGTGTGCAGAAGGAACGGGCGTGTAAGCAAGGGTAGAGGAAAGGAAGAGCGTTGGCGGGGACAGTGTTAGCCTCTGGTTTTCATACAGAGGAACCCTGCTCCAGTATGCCGGAAGCCATGGAGCGAGCATGCCCCTGCCTAAGAGCTGGTACATGGAGCAGAAGATGGATCTCCTGGGTTTAGGTCGTCAGTCTGAGAACTGAAGGTCCCCTGACCCCCGTGAATCAACTACACAGAAGTTCATCTGTCATCTTCAAAAGCAAAGCAAAACGCAGGGCTGGTGGTGGGACTTGGAGCCCACTGCCTGTACCCGCGGGGCCATCACATTCCCCCTGAACGCCATCCCAGCCCTCATGCTGCCTTCTACGCTGATTTCAGGGCCATACACACCAAGCCACCAGCCCTCACATACACGTGGTCTCCCTGTGCAGGTGGGAGGCCTAATACAAAGTTTTATTTGAAGTGCACTGACCTATTTTGTTGGTTTAGACTTGACACCCAGTATGAGGTGGTTGGGACAGGGCGGAGGTGTGATTGCATCCCTGTCAAAACTAGTTCTTGGTTCTTTTTCTAGTCATCCTTTCTCCTTCTGTCACGCGTTGGGCCTTTTCCATTCTGTGTCTCACTTCCCTCCTCCCTCCTTCCATCTCCTCCCCTCACCCCTACCCCTTATGTGTTGACCTTGAACTTGGTATGTAGTAGAGGTTGACCTTGAACTCTTTTTTTATTGTTGTTGTTGTAGTTTATTTTTGTTGTTGTTGTGGTTTTTGTTTTGCTTTGTTTTTCAAGACAGTGTTTCTCTGTGTAGCCATGGCTGTCCTGGAACTTTCTCTGTAGACCAGGCTGGCCTCAAACTCACAGAGATCTGCCTGCCTCTGTCTCCTGAGTGCTGGATTAAAGGTGTGCACCACTAAGTCCATAAACTTTTTTGTTCTTGAGACAGGGTTTCCTTGTGTATCACTGGCTGTCCCATCTAGAAGTCACAGAAATCTGCCCACCTCTGCATCCTCTGGATTAAAGGTGTGTGCTACCAGGGACTGGAGAGGTGGCTCAGAGATTGAGAATGCTGACTGCTCTTCCAGAGGTCCTGAGTTCAATTCCCAGCACCTACATGGTGGCTCACAACCATCTGTAGTAAGATCTGGTGTCTTCTTCTGGCATGCATGCAAGCAGAACACTGTATACATGATAAATAAATAAAATCTTAAAAAAAAAAGGCATGCACCACCACTGCCGGGATTGGCCGTAAACTCTCCGTCTCTCCGTTCTCCTGTTCCAATGTCCAGTGCTTCCTCAGGTTGGGATTATAAGCATGCGCACCATGCCGGCTGCAGTCAGTATTTTATGGAATTGTTACTTTTTGAGAGAGGCTCTCTCTACATAGCCAACACTCTGCTTCTCTCTCTCCTCTTTCACTCTGCACCCCCCTCTGCCCTCCTCCCTTTCTCTCCCTCCTTTCTTCCCTCCCTCTCTTTTCTCCCCTCCCTCTCCTCTCCTCACACCTCCTCTTCTCATTCCTCTTTCCCTCTCTGACCCTTAACATTTTTGCAACCAAGCATCATTCCTCAAACTGTTTGGTCCCCAATTCCTTTATGCAAAAATTGGAGGACCTCAAGAGCTTTTGTTTCTTCTTTTTTCTCGTGATGCTTGCCATGTTATAAATTAAGGCTAAAGTGTTTTTGAAACATGGAGATACAAAGGCATGCACTATTCACTCTGTTTAGCTAAGAGCAGTAATTTGGTGGCGCATGCCTTTAATCCCAGCACTTGGGAGGCAAAGGCAAGGTGGATCCCTGTGAGTTCGAGGCCAGCCTGGTCTCCAGAGTGAGTTCTTTTTTTTTTTTTTTTTTTTTTTTGGTTTTTCGAGACAGGGTTTCTCTGTGGTTTTGGAGGCTGTCCTGGAACTCACTTTGTAGACCAGGCTGGCCTCGAACTCACAGAGATCCGCCTGCCTCTGCCTCCCGAGTGCTGGGATTAAAGGCGTGTGCCACCAACGCCCGGCTCCAGAGTGAGTTCTAGGACAGGCTCCAAAACAATACAGAGAAACCCTGTCTCAACAAACCAAATAAATAAATAAATAAATAAAAAGTCATCACATTTCATGACACTTCCGTGAGAGAATGAGTGTGAAAAGGACAAGGGGCATGTGTTATGAACATAGTTTTGACCTTAAGCACCTCCTCAAAGAGCTGGTCTCCGGGTCACTTTGCTCTAAAGTATTAGAGTCACATCTAACTTCCTCGAGGACATTATTTTTATGTCTCTGGGATGAGGGCACTGATCAGCTAATTGCTAATAGTGGTTCCTAAGGCTCAGGACTTTCTGGAGGACAGATAGGAACTGTAACATCAAATGTAACATTATCTTGGGCCTGGAGGTGGGGAGTGGGGGTTGGGGGCTGGCGGCAGCTGTAAAGCCAGACACACTCTGGTGGAGCATTTCTGGGGAAGGAAAAGGAACAGTGTTCACCAGGAGAGAAGACTGTACAAGGAAGTGAGGGAGCATAGTTAGAGCCTTTGTACTGTCTACACAGCAAGCAGGAGGCTAGAAAAATGGGTTTCTTCCTTTACCCAAGTGGTGGCTGGGTTGCTGGGAGGGGATGCAGAGTTGGTGCTGTGATATTTTTAGACCCCGACATTGAGAATTGTTGTCATGTATGTGTCCTATATGCACTATGTCTCCGTGTCTCCCATTTCAGATAGCTTTCCCAAGCGCTTCTGTTTCATTTAAGATTTGGGCCTTTTGTGTTTTTAGGAGGGCTTCAGTTGGTGATTTACAGGGATAAAGTGACCCCTGGTGGCCAAACCAGGGAATTACTGTCACTTCCTCAGTGACAGGCTAGTATCTCAATCCAGGTGGATGGAAGTCAGATGCTCACTAGGCCCTGACCACCAGCGGCTCTACAGAAGGCCTGCTGTTAACATCTGTCCCTATCTCATCTGTATTCAAGGTGTGTGCTCTCCCTGGCAGGACAGTATGGATGGCATCAACCCTCCTCCGCTGAATCTCAGGACATTGTACTACACAAACAGCAAAACAGAATCTTCAAAAGTTTTGGCGGTGAGGGGGTGGAGTTTGTGGACATAGTTCAATTGGTAGAGTGCTTGCCTTGCATGCACAAAACCTCGGGTTTGAAACCCAGCACCACATAAGCCTGACCCGGTGTTGTATGCTTGCAATCACAGTACCCAGAGAGTAGAGTCCTGGTGGCACTCCCCTTAATCCCAGCACTGTGGCAGCAGAGAAAGGCAGCTCTCCGTGAGTTTCAGGCCAGCCTCCTCTACACTGAGAGTTCCAGACATCCAGGGCTACATAGAGACCCTGTGTATGTGTGTGTGTGTGTGTGTGTGTGTGTGTGTGAGAGAGAGAGAGAGAGAGAGAGAGAGAGACAGAGAGACAGAGAGACAGAGAAGCAAGATCAGGAGTTCTAGGTTGTTCTCAGCTGCACACTGACATATTGAGTTCTAGGATATATATGACTATCTCAAAAAAGTTCCCAGCTGAGCTGTGGTGGCCTGTGCCTCGAATTCCAGTCCTCAGGAGGCAGAGGCAGGCAGAGCTCTGTGAGTTCAAGGCCAGAGAGGTCTACACAGTCAGGCCAGCCAGAGCTACATAGTGAGACCCTCTTCTCAAAAAAAGAAAAGTAACTTGAGATGTCTGAGTCTTGGGCACGTGTCTATATCCCAGCTCTGCAGACACTGAGGCTGGAGAATCATGCATTTGAGGCCAGCATTCACAAGTCCCTAGGTGTGACCTCTAGCACTACAAAACTAATAAGTAAACAAACACATTGAAAAAATGAGCTGGGTGGTGGTGGCGCACGCCTTTAATCAAGCACTTGGGAGGCAGAGACAGGCGGATCTCTGAGTTCGAGACCAGTCTGCTCTACAAAAGCTAGTTCTAGGACAGCCTCCAAAGCCACAGAGAAACCCTGTCTTAAAAATCAAAACCAAAAAAAAAAAAAAGAGAGTACTTTTTATATTCAGGTATCGAGCAGATTCCAGATGATTAAAGCAGCATGCATCACCTAAGGGGTCACATAACTTACTATTTATTCTAATGTTTGTATGTATTAGCTGTCTTCCTAATGTAAGCAGGGGGACTAAGGGTTTTCGTTTGGCTGGCCCGTTGCTGTATTCACTGCATCTAGAACAGTGCCTGGCACAAAGGAAGTACTCATAAAGACTCGCTGAGTGGACGTCAGGACTTGTGGAGTGCTTGCCTGTGGGGACTGCGGCACGGTGAGCAGCAACGGGAGACAAAGGAAAGGAGGGACGGTGCTGGCAGGTGACTTAGGGGAGCCCCCTGAGAGGTGCCCCGTGAGGTTTGCTCACAGACATGCTCGCAGGATAGAACTGTAGGGAAATCAGGCAGGGAGAGTCTAGGGAAGGGAGGGCCGTGGGAAGGACTACGTAGGGAGGCGTGTGGTCAGTGGAAGCAGGTTGTCTCCAGCCTGAAACCTATGCTGTCAGAGCCCAGAACTGTTTCCATGCATTTCACCACCGTGAGAACAGAGGCAAGACTAGATACAAAGAGGTATTGTAGCTGGGTGATGGTGGTGCACGCCTGTAATCACAGCACTCAGGAGGCTGAGGCAGGAGGATCTTTTGTTCAAAGGCCAGCCTGGGCTACTGAGTGAGACCCTGTCTCAAAATAATCAGGGGCCCGAGGATAGTTTTTGCCAAGCATGTGTAATGACTTGGGTTCAACCCCCAGCATAAAAAAGAAAGAAAGAAAGCATTAAAGGGTTGAAACAAGGGCTGGAGAGACAGCTCAGTGGTTAGGAACACTGGCTGTTCTTCTAGAGGTCCTGAGTTCAATTCCCAGAAACCACATGGTGGTTCACAACCATCTGTAATGAGATCTGGCGCCCTCTTCTGGCCTGCAGACACCATACAGACAGAACATTGTGTGCATAATAAATAAATAAATAAATAAATAAATAAATAAATAAATAAATGTCTTTAAAAAAGGGGGGTTGAAACAAAATATCTCTGCTTCCTCCCCACAAAATAGACTATTATTCTGATAGTGTTGTTCTGTAGTCCCAAACTACTCTGGGACCCATGGTAAGATTATAAGAACCTATGGCCTTGATTTAGAATTCAAGGTCAGCCTGGACAATAAAGAAAAGACCCAAGCTTTTAATCCCAGCACACAGGAGGCAGAAGCAGGCCATCTCTGAGTTTGAGGCCAGCCTGGTCTACAGAGGGAGTCCCAAGAGAGCCAGGGCTACACAGAAAAAACTTGTCTTGACAAACAGAAAGAAAAGAAGGAAGGAGGAAAGGAGGGAGGGAGGGAGGGAGGGAGGGAGGGAGGGAGGGAGGGAGGGAGGGAAGAAAGGACCCTGTCTCAATAAATATACAAGCAAACAAGTTTTCTGTACACCAAGATTTCAATATAATGTTCATAATGTCTCTATTTTTTTTTTTTTTTGAGACAGGGTCTCTCTACTTAGCCCT